AATTGATGATTTTTCTCACGTCACTCATGTTTTGTGACATCATATTTATCATTTATTATCTTATTAGCTTAAAAGTCCGCCCTCCCACTGCGGTCAGCTAATTGGGCCTATAGTCCAAAACTAAAGTGCCATCTGCTCTAGGTGAGAAAACACCAATGATAATTTAGAGGAAATAACTTTGTATTCTTTAATTCAAAAGATGGTACTTCAAAAGTTCACTTTAACAATGATTTGGGCTATAAGACCAATTCAGACCAAAAGATCGATTTCAGTCGAAACTCAGCCTGAAAAATGAGTTCTTCAAATCACAGAATTCGTTGAACTGCAAGACTTGACCTCATGAAACCTCTCACTTTAACTCTGATGCATTGGTATTTTTAAGAAATAAAATTGATTTCCTTAATTCAAAATATTTTAGACGGAATGTAAAACAAACATTTTTAAATTCTTAATTTTTGTGTTACTTTAAACTCACTATAAATTAAAAACTTTTAAAATCACTAATTTTATTCAGGTATTTTAAAATTTGAATGTTTAACTGTTCCCACCTCATCCGACCAAGAACCTCAATGCTGGTTGTCCAAGCCCCAGGTGAAGGGCAGGTTTTCAACCCCGGCATCACCCTGGTTCCAGAATATTTTTTTTTTTATTTAGTTGATCCAAGGGAGATATTTTGTTGCTGATGTTAATTTGTTAAAAAATATTTAAAATAGAGATTATTATGTAGAATAATATACATCTGTTATCTTTTATCGTAGGCTGCTCTATTTAATAAATATTTCTAATTCATGTCTTAATTTCTAGTATGAGGAGTCATTATTATATACACTCGTGATTTTTTCATCATCTGTTTTTGTTCTTTAATACAACATTTGTGTGGTGATATCCACAGTCCTCGGTATGAAGATAAACTACATCCGGCAACAAGGTGCGAGGAACCATTTAGTAATTGTTGGTGTTCCCCTTCAACACTGATCCGGGGCGGTAGCACCTGTTAATATCCCAACTATGAATGAATAGTTCATCCTCAAAAGCAAAACACATAATAGTGTAAAAATACATTCTCATATTTAAAAAAATCCTACAATACATTTTTCTATTAAAATAATTAGCAACAAATTCTATTTATAATTGAATGACCCACAATGCTTTTTATCTGTAGTTAAAACATACGTTGATGATAATGCCGATAAATCTTTTCTTTTTAATGTCATATAGGACTAAAGTGAGTTTGAACATATATTGTCAATGAATAAACACAGGCAATCCCATTATTGAATAAAGTGGATCAGGTGACCAAGGAAGAAACACATATAAAGGCAGTCACGTGACGTCTAAATGATCACCATTTCTAGTCTATCCTCTATTACTATACGGATCCCCATTTCTACTCCATCAATAAATGGACCGCTATTCTCTACTCTATGCATTAAACTATTTCTCTATTCAGATCACTATACTGATTACTGTTTGAGCAAGTGTTATCGATCAAGTTCTATTAGTGCAAGTACTATTCAAAGGTGTCTGACACCAGCATTGTTCAACAGTATACTATAGTTGTATCTGCTATTATAAAGTCTCTACTACAATGAGCATTACGATAGTGACAATGAATATTCGTTGGCATTACTAAAGTGGTAACAAGTGTTCATTGAGGTCACAAAAGTCAATTTCTTATCATTCTATATTTCTGAGATGACGTATTATATACACATTAACATTATTCGAAATATTGTCCCCATTTTTTGCCCATATTTATCACAACGTTTCGGCCGTTGTACGCTCAGGCCTACTTCAGGTGGTTGTAATGTAGAACTGAACACTTTATTTCGCTTGCTGGGGTAGACTGTTCTGACGATTGCAAAAAGCATGAAACCCTGGGTCACAAACTCACATCAATCTAACTAAATATGTTAGTTCTATCACTGATATTGAGGGCTTTCCAATTAGTGCCGCGCATGTATAAATAAAATTTGCATATATATATATATATATATATATATATATATATATATATATAATGATTGTCCAAGCTTAGCACAGAGGTGGCACAAGGTCGAAAGTATTGAGCACCTAGTGTGGATAGAACTCAGTACGCAGTCGCAATTGTTCTAGCGAGACATTCTTGCTAATCATTACACCGCATCGAGGTGCCCTATGCATGCACACACTCACACACACTCACACACACACACATATATATATATATATATATATATATATATATATATATATATATATATATATATATATAGAGAGAGAGAGAGAGATAGATAGATAGATAGATAGATAGATAGATAGATAGATAGATATCCAGTTGATTTAGTTAGATGTAACAATTTCTTCTTTCTTACTACTCCCTTGTGGAATCTCTCTTCTGACTTGAGGCTTTCTAGTCAACTTAGATCTTCAAAATTGTAAAGACAATGTCAATAGTTATCTACGGGGTTCTTTATTACACTTCTTTTATTGTCCTTGCTCTTTATTAAGTTTTTTTTTCTTATTTTTCCCCTCTCAGTAACTCCCTTACTATCTTACTTGAAGGTGAAAGGATTCAAAAATATTAACCTTAAATATATTTTGGATTGTAAGTATCTTTCTCTTTTGAATGAATATTGCTTTAAGAATTTCTTGTAAATAAACTTATTTTCCAGATACTACTCCTAATATCTAACCGATAACTGGTGGGATGATATACATAAATCTTCTCAATATTGAAACATTCCAACGAATCAACGGTGTCTCTTTGAACATAATCAAAAACACGTGAACAAAAATACAGATATCTAATAACAAGTTTCGAACTTGGTCTAAAAATATTGTTGAGAGACAAAATATTCGCACCCATAAATGCAAAGCTATCATTTAATTTTCATAATAAATCAATAATATTTTCAAAACATACACATGAAAAAAAAAAGTTACAATTTTTTATTGAAAAAATTGTACATTTCTTAGCAATTACAGTGTGCGTTTATGTGTTACTGGCAGGACATGGTAAATGTAAATATGAACTATTACAACTGTATGTTGCATTTCTTTTTTAAGTAATTGGTTTAAGTATACTTATAAATAGCTTACTTCACGATTCAGACATTACCAGATAGGTCAAAAGAACAATAGAGCAGTGCATGGCCTCCACTATATTAAGAGCAATCGATTGTGTTCACTCAATGATAATTGGAATCTATCAATAATTGCTGCCGCTTCCAATTCCATTTCAATGGATAACAGAATGAATAATTCTAAATTCACCTCAGACACCGAGTTTCTTAATCTTGTTTTTATCATATTTAGCTTTGAATGTGTCCTCTGGCATTGAATTCGAGTAACTGATAGTGCGCAGACGACATTATAAAATTCATAGGTTTCCCAATGTTATTTGAGCATGTGACCAGAACGCATCCATATGGTATTGGAACTCAGCTCTTCGATTAACTATTCCGTGACATTATCTTTTAGACAACCCGTGTAAGCTTATGGCACCTGCTATTTCCAGGCGGTCACCCATCTAGCTCACTTACCAGGCTTAATGTTGCTTATCTTCGGTGATTGTACGGGAACTGTGAGCCGTAATCCCTCTAACATCTGGATGTTGTATCGTAATATCGCATTGATTTAAGTATAAGAGTGTAATGCATTACTGGAAGGTACGCGAATATTATAACCTTGTCAATCTATATATACAATTCTATGACTTTAGTCCTTCACATCCACTAAAATAGCCATAGATTTATCGACCGAAAGCAAGTTTTGGGGAGAAGTGTACAAAAGGTAAGGGAGTACAAAGTACAATTGGTTTACTAGGATTCGTAGCTTAGTACAATAAATGCGCATTATTTTTTAAGGGAAAAAGTTTTATTATTTAAAATTCATAAATCACTACGTCGTCATTCTTTCTCTGAATACTACACTGGGGAAAGATACCAAATGACTTAACTACAGCCACAAACATCATTCATACACCCCCCCCATACACATCATACAACAAAGGGAGATTGACTTTCGTAAGTCATTTCAAAGGCTATATTTATTTTACTTAACTAGCTGCAGTTTCGTCAATATACTTAACAGGAACAAAAGCTTCAAAAGTTGCACTTTGGCTCCAGAAAGAATATTTACGTATTGTATGTTTCATGCTCAAATGTAAAAAATCCTAAGAATTTATTCTCCGCTGTCAAAAAGGGAATACAAAATTTTGTTAAAAAATGTTTGTTTACGATGAAGTCCTATAAAATTCAATTAAGCAATTATTAAATCTCGAAATAAGATTTTTTTGTCAAAGTATTTTTCTAAACAAATCAGGTTATTCAAATTTCGTCGATTGGTTTGCGAAATTGAACGAAACAAGTTTGTAAATCTCAAAAAAAAACCCCAAAAAAACAGTTAGCCATAACCTCAAAGACATTAAATACTATAAGGAGTTCAACAGTCGTTAAAGTTTGACAAAAATTTCTCGTAAAGAAAAATAGCATATAATCAAATTTTCATCAGTTTTAGAAAGCGTAATCTTTATTTTGCACGCTGAATTTACAATTGTATAGACGTATTATTCTACAAACTTAAAAATTATCTCCATAGAAGAGTTCAAATATATTACAGGCTATCCCATAAGAATAATCACACCGATATTTAAGCATAAGGTTTTCCTAAAGATTTACGTACATCAGTTTTTCCGGTAGTTGTAGGAGCGCTCGGAATGATTAAGTGAAATATTCATACTGATATAATCAGAGGAATCAATTTTAATCTCAAATTAAAGGTTTGGGCTAATGAGTATTGCTTAAGAAAGTGCTTTTAATCCAATCCAAGTCACAGGGGAAGGTTGATGAGGGACTGTAACAATCAGTAAATCAAAAGAAATTGAATTAGACAAAGGAAAAAACAGTAGAAGAATAAAAAAAAGAAAGAAGAGAAGAAAACCAGAAGAAGAAAATGGAAAAAAAGAAGGATTATAAGAAAATAAGAAGACAAAAAAAGAAATAAAGAACTGTTCCGCTTTATTTACTTTTTTTCTTTTTGTTTTCTTCCTTTCTGAGAAGGAAAGGAAGTAACATGTACAGGAAATAAGAAGAAAGAAGGAAAACGAAAATCTTTAAGAAATGAGGGCGAAAAAGAAGAAAATCAAGAGAAGATGATAAAAAAAATAAGCTGAAGAATAAAAAAGAAGAGTAAAGAAGAGATAAGAAGGAAATGAAATAAGAGAAGGAAAACAGTAAGAAAATAAAATGAGAAGCCGAGAAAATTATAAAGAATGAGGGTGAAAAAGAAAGCAAGAAGGAAAAAGAGAAAAAAGGAAAGAAGGAAAAATTAAAGGAAGAAAAAGGACAAGGTATTAAAGGAGGAGGAGAAGAAGAAGAAGAAGAAGACGAAGAAGAAGAAGAAGAAAGAAAAGAAGAAGAAGGAAAAGAAGAAGAAGAAGGAAAAGAAGCTGCAAGAAAAGAAAAGGAAAAAAGATATAAAATTATAAGAAATGAGGTCCCTGAAAAAGAAAATGAAAAAATGAAAAATTAAGAACAAGAAAAAAACAGAAAAAATTTTAAAAAATGGAAGAAGAAGAAGAATTTAAAGAAGAACTCGTTGAATGCTGTTGAAGTCTGATATATAATGTACAAGTCATCAAGATAAAGAAAGAGGGGAAATGATATATTGCATAATAAATACATTGATGAAGAAAACGGACACCATGGTGTTAGGACAGTGATAGATTTGATATTATTCAAGCTACAAACTGTCTGAAGTTATTAAGCAAATCATATAAAATTCAATAATTCAATTTCGTTTGAAAAAAATATCAAATTTTAAACAATCAATTCAGATGTCAAAACCAAGCCAGAGTTAAAATTTTTAGATATTACCAATATGTTTTATTGAAGTTAATTGATGTATTCTAAAAAAAAAAAAAAAAAAATCTACCGTCTGAAGTTATTAAGTAAACCAAATAAACATATTTTACTTCAATAAAAAGGTAATAAAATTGATCAAGACCTATAATAGAACAATTAAAAAAGATATATATTATAAGTCTTTGAATCCTTTTCATTTATTCTCAATAAAAACGAGTAATATATTATCTATTAATTTAGTCATTTTTTTACTTCAACAGGTTCAATTTCCAACATGGTAGTTTTAATTGCTTCCAATAGGTTTGTCTTGCTTTTATATTGCTTGTCACGTTCACATAATTTTATGTTCACAATTGACCATAGATTTTCGATCGGATACAGATCAGGACTTGATGGTAAAACATAACATAAATACATAGCACCCCTTCTAATTTAAGAAATATTTTGTTCGGCAGTAAAAAAAAAAAAAATAAATACATTCATAATCCAACTGAAAAGAAAAAAAACATTTATAAATTCGAAAAGGCTTTCCCATCAAAGTGAGACAACACGACATCAATAAAGCTTGCTTCTATATAGGCGTAGATGTGTTAAGTTTCCTTTCTAATGTATGATCATTTTAGTCAGGTGAAGGAAGAAAACTAATTCCTGAGTTAAAGCATAATCATGTGAGCCTACGTTCGTTTCGAAATCAGTACCCTGATCAAATCGTATTTATGAGTAGTTTACCTGATGGAAAAGGAGCTTCTTTTTTTTACGTGAGTTTTCCCCTAAGGACGTAGGTAATTATGCTATCCACAACTTCCTGGCTCCTTTAGCACTTAAATTTTATCTTTGGGTCATTTATCCTAAACCTTGTTCTGCCCTCCAACTTACCCAAGCTCAAAAAGCAAGTTATTCATTGGTTCCTCTGTTCCTATTGTCCTCAATCTGTCCCGTAATTATCAGATTTACTAAAAACTCAGTCCTCATTATGACCCCCCCCCAAACCTCAAAAGGCCTCCTCCTGATGTGAAGTAGTCGTTTCTTTTATTTCTCCAAAATTTCATCGTTGGTCATATGTTCTGTTTCCGGTATCCTCAGCATACTTCTCTAGAATCACATACATGACTTAGGTTTCTCCTCTTCATCTTTGAGAAGATCTCGTTATTTCATTTTGGGAGACACAAAAGAAAAATATATCAATCTAACACGTTTCACTTTTATTAAAGCTTCATCAGAGAATGAGATATTCATATCTCATTTTTGGATTGATAAGGCTTTAATAAAATAGAAATCTGTCAGATGGATAAACGTTTCGTATTCGCTTTTTCTCCCATCAAACACACACTAGCACACACACACAAACACACATTTTACATGTCGAAGCGCATTAGCTATACTTTTGTCCATTATCATGGCTGATCTTATTTTTACTTTTAACTGTATGTATGTATTGTTTTATATCCGTATCTAAATTTATAGGAATATTTTATTTGCCAAACACAGTCAGCATATTGTGGCCGTGTGCTTGTCTGATATTATTCGGGTTTTGTTTTTCTTGTTCATTAATAATTCATCCATTATTTAGCCATTTTTACACGTGGATGAGACTGTTGTATATGTATTAACAAAGAATATGTTCTAGAGAGAGTTTGGTATGTCACCATGTGTAATTATATGAGACCTAATTGAAATTTTGTAGGAAAGATGTAATGTGTTTCTTCATGTTAGGCATGTGGTGGTATATCCAATATAATTATTTATGAATTTGGATTGACCAGGAAAACAGTATATATACATGGGTTGCAAGATCGCTGGTATACTAATGAAAATATTTAGCCACCGTTCTAATGCGGTCATCATCACTTTGGATAATAAATATTTAGGCGCTCCTGGAAAATTTAACACACAAGAAATATTGCCGGTCTCAATACGAGTTCAAATAATAAAAGAGTAATACAAAACAATATAAATATAAGGGACAATTTCGTGCATTGACAAAAGGAATTACAATTTTAATAAAAGAAGAATAACATTTAAAGACTAATTTCAGAGAAAACTTTTAAACTAGAAAATGTGCGTGTTTGTGTTTGGAAGTTATGTAGGACCACGTTATTGACAAGTGTGTAAAAGAGTACAAAATCAAGAAAGGAAAGTAAAACCGTGAAAATGAACGCGCTCCAATAGGGGACATATTTCCCCACGTGTGCCTGCATCTTATAGCCAGAAGCTGTAAAAAAGAAAATATACACGTTTTTATAGTGTCAAGGAGCGCCCTCAAGAAACGATATTTTTCATGTGGGATAAAATGTGTGTGTGTGTGTGTGTGTGTGTGTGTGTGTGTGTGTGTGTGTGTGTGTGTGTGTGTGTGTGTTTTTAAAAAAAGGACCGGGTTCAGGACTGAACCCGTGCTTCTGCTGTGACTCTAAATGATCGTGCAAATCCAACATCATTACTAAAACTGACAGCTAAAAGCTTGCTGATATTAATCTGCAAAAGATTATGTGAAAAAAAAATTATGATTTTGGGAGACGCCGATAGACATACAATTGGAATCGGGTGTCACACACACACAAAAAAAAACGAAGCCATTAAATTCCCAAAGTCTTTGCACAATTTTTTAAAAGATGAGGATTTTTCCTGTGGCCGTTAGAACTGTTGATTCGTTACAGCCTCTGTTGAAGTGTTTACGAAGTAGCCACAAGGAAAATATCCCATTAAGGCTAATTTTATCTATCCTGGGTTCAAAACTAAATGGTTGGCTAACAGTGCCGGAAATATATTATTTTCATTACATGAAGAATTAATTTAATTTATTACCTATTTGCCACATTTTGCCATTAGCAATTCCAATTTATGTAATATGACAGCATATCCGTAGAATCAAGTTTTGATGGTTTCTATTACTTATAATATCTTCATGATTTACTGATAAATAGACGATCTTGCTTTTGGGAGTACTTTAAGCCCGCTATGACTAATATTATAACTGAATTTTAAAAGCAGGATATGATTTCATGAAATGAAAGTCCAGTGATATTACCGATATGTTTAATTCTTTTACTGATATATTTACGTTCATATATATATATATATATATATATATATATATATATATGTGAAAAGTGTATATAAATATAAACAAATATATATATGTATAATTATTTATATATTATATACGCGGTACTTATTAGAAAACGCTCAATATCAGAGATAGATCTCACATCTATCCAACCAAATATATATATATATATATATATATATATATATATATATATATATAATCAATTTTTTCACGTGTGCTCCACCGCAGAAACTACAGATATATGTATATATATGCTGATGCATTTTATCGATGTTATTTAAGCCTCCTGTTTATAGAATTATGTAATTTCACGCCATCTTCATGAAATTTAGTATTGACACTTTATAATACTTAAATACATAGACTTGCTCTGGTTAGCACTTTACGCCCGCTATGATTATATTTTCATTCGATTTTATGAACATGATAGGATTGATTGAATTGAAAGTCCTCTGTTCTCTTACCAATATGTGGATGACAATGTTTTTGTATTTTTCAGAGTGATGTGATATCTTGGATTTTCAGTTGACTCCTTCCAGCATTAACGCTTACATGTGAAAAAGAAAACAACATTCTTGCCTTTTCTTGCTATATTGGTACAAAGGCCTAACTACATTTCCTTGATTGTACACAAGACGTAATTTTTTTCCTAAACAAGAAAAAGTGAATAGGATTAAGTCATTTGTTTATCGGATACTAATTATTTATTCGAAAACCAAATTAAATTCAGAAATCGAATTTATTAGGAAGATCTTGTTGGAAAAAAACTATCTAATGGATCTTATGCCATCTAGCATTCATACGAAAATAGCTCGATTTAACAATCTCGAATTGTATTGTCGAGAAAATGCCCCATCTAGTTTCAATTACCATGTATTGGCAAAAATATGTTGTTTTACTATTATCTCCCCATCCACAGGTTGTTTTCATTTTCCAGCTTATGCAGGAATGTTCCCATCAGCAAACATTTTCTACACACCCACCGTATTGATTCAATTATCTATAATTACAAATATCTTTGTGATACTGAATCTATAGTGAGAACTAATCGAAGGTTCGATACTAGGTTTGATCAGCTAAGTCCTGTCGAGACTAGCGGGAATATTTGAAGTTGCTTTTCAATAAGTTTCTCGTCTAGGGATCTTTTCTTCATGATCATCAAAGCTTATTGAGATCACCATCTGAGAAATCTGTACACAATTTAGAAGTGACTTCGCTGCCTTTCTTCTGTAAACAGAAGAAGGATTGCTGGGTCTAAATGTATTTCCTTTTTAATTCATTCTGATGATTCCCGTCTCGACTTTTTCTCCAACATTATTTTCATTGTTGTGCATATATAATTGTCCACAGTTGATTCTAACCTGGGAGCATCAACAATATTAGTTTACAAAGAGAAACGGTTGATCTGAGGCAATCACGTAGACAGAAGAATTGTTTAGTAAATTTGATGTGGGGAAATCAATTTCCAAAACACTTTTACATTATCATGTCTAGTTCTACTGCTTTCCGGATTAGTTCAATGTCTATTTCTATTGATAACCCGCCTATTTCTCTCGTCCTATTGCGATCAAGTTTAGTTCTAATTGCTTTCACGTAACACGTTTTGTAAATGGCACTTTCACGTAATGGCTATATATATATATATATATATATATATATATATATATATATATATATATATATATATATATATATATATATATATATATATATATATATATATATACATATATATATATACAGATATATATGT